CTTGGTTACACTTAAGTTTTGAGCGAACAGTTTAAAAGTATAAAGTTTTTTTGATGCGAAAGTATTCAATAAAATCTGAATCTAATAAATGTGATTTAAGCTGAAGCACTGGTGGATTGCAAGAGAATGAAACGTTTAATCTTGTTTTACAAAATTTCACTTAATTACCACGTTACCATCATCTGCTAAAAGTCATTAATTGTTCCCCATAGATGTTTGATTTGATACCATTCATCTAAAACATCGTAATAATTTTAACGATCATATTTTTTTTCTTCTATATTTTTCTTTTGCTGAAAAAAAAGAATTGTTGAAAACTGGGTAGGCCACTTCATAATTATCTGAGCACTTTTCAATATCTCTTTTTCAAACTAAACGAAAATGAAAATAAAAGCAACAACAGCAACAGCAATAGCAACTTATATCCAACGACTCATTCAACGGTTCTAAAGTCTAAAAATACGTACAAGTTTGATTAAAATAACAAGTGTACCAACAAGTTTATATAATGCAAAAAAAAACTTCAGTCAGTTCGTTTAAGTAACTAAGAAAGAAAAAGCTTCAAAGAAAATATATCAAAAACTACAAATGATAATCAGCGCATATTTCTTTTGTTTCTTTAGGGCCTACAAATAAAAAATAAACCAGAAACATGTTGAATTATAAAATTTGCAAACAGCTTAGCTGCATAAATTGTGCGAATGATAAACGCTTATAACTTTTAACATTACCAATGTAACGCAAAAGAATAATTTCAGATGAACAAAACAAATCTCGGTTTTTTTCTTTCTTCCATCTTTTATTTCATTTAATCATAGTCATTTCTTTGTTGCTTACTGCTCTGAAATAGAGACAAAAACTTGAAGAAGATTTTAAAAGTTCTTTCTCTTTCTTTTATTAGAAAAAAATTAATTAACCTGCTACGCAGTAATAATTGCATAAGTCCCATAAAAAACTATGCCAAAGATTATACAAGACAATTCTATAAGAGACATTTACAACAGTTTGGGTCATCACACTACCTATTGTTGTAACAGTTGCTAAATAATACTTTAACCATAGATATATACCACCATAATAGACTTCAATATTTGTCTCCGCTCCCCCGTAAAAAAAGCGTTAGTGTTCGCTAAAATTCTCACATTATATCTGTAATGACCACAATTTTCTGAAACCTCTGGGTCGGTAGTCAGATAAGTGCTGTATTTGGGCGTAAAAAGAAAAAAAAAATCAGTATTCCTGCACATATAAAGACAGTGCAAGTAGAAATTACAAAAGACTTTGAAAGCGAAAGAAATAAATAGTGGTTTCAAAAAAAGAAGACAGTTTACTCATTAGCAATTTCTCATACCTTTTCTAAACTTTCCCAGGACAAATGAATCACGGGCAGTATGTAGCAGTATACGAGGAAAATGAACAAAGAACAACATTTGAAGAGTTTTTCTTGAGTAAAAATGGTTCTTTAAAAATTTAGTAATTTCCGTACATAACAAGCAAATTTTACTAAAAGTATTTAACTTTTATTCTTTTTTCTAATATACTGTCTAATATATTAAATAAAAAAGCTTCTTCAAGTACTCAAGTAAATAAGCATGATTTGATTTTTCTTTCAATACCATTCAGCGTCCAACAAATTAGTTTTGAATTTCACAACAGGGGAGTACAGCATACGAGTAACAGACAATTGATACTGCAGACCACCTGTGACAATGTGAGGATGCAACATGAACAACAGGAGGGAAAAGAAACGACAAAAAGAAAAAAAAGAAGACAATCCATTGTTTCTATAAAAACCTGAATCGCAATCTGTTTTTTTTTTCCTTCTTCTTCATTTTGTCTATGCGATAGGTATAAAACACAAAAGAAAGTACTAACTAATTTGGACCAAAAATGTTAAAAACTGTTGATTTACTCCAGCAGCAGTAGCAAATTCACAGTTTTTGGAAGCGACCAACAATGATAACTAAGTTGACACCTCCTTAACATGTGAGAAAGAAAACTATAAAGAAATACTAGAAATTTTTACACATTTTTCAATTGGCAACAAATAAACCAACCAACAAACTATAATAACTGTTCGGAACAACGAAAGCATTGGAAATAGAAACACAAATTTAGAATTAACTATTTTTTTGTCTAACTCAACCTTTTAAAATTGCGTTGATCAGTCACAATATGGCCAAAATATGACTTCATACTAAACCCGT